TGACAGTTAATGTGATGAAAAGTTATAATCGGTATTAATCATTCTGATGACATTAATATGATAAAAAAGTGGCAAGTCGAATTTATTTTTTTCCAACTTTCGAAAAAAGTTTGGGTAAACGAATGGTTATCAGGAAAAATAAAACTTCTATCAATCCATTAAATCAAATAGCAATTATAATGTTATTAATACCGATGAAATTATAATTACAATACCTTGGCACTCATTACAATATCAATATTAGACATTATATTAACCATTCTGATGACGGTTAATATGATGAAAGGCTATTACATATCAAATATTATCAATATGTTGGAATAAACTTAAACACAACTAAAAGTATAAAACAATACTTTCATTAAACTTTTTACCGTAATTTATGGAAATAACAAAAGAATGATAGGATAAGAATGTTCGATTAATTTGACAGGATTAAGATAGAGCCGGCAAATTTATCATAGAATTTGAGAAAATCGATTTGTAGTGAAATCTTAAAAATCTATTTGCCACAGGGAGAATAAATATATTTATGTGTATGCGTTATGAAAGCAAAATTTTGAAATAATTAGCTGAAAAGCAGTTGCTTCTTTGTTCATTGAAAAATTATGTGCACCAATTTTGAATGATTAAATTCAAAATTTAATATAAGGAAAGATTGAAGTAGATGTGTTTGAAAAGTGGTATTAAATACACTGAATGTTGTGACGAATTAGGATGAGTGTTAAAAGTTCAACTAATTTCAGTGGAATAACTAAAATTAGATCATACTGAAATATTAATTTAGATGAATTATATGAAGTAAAAATTGAGATAAATTAAATTTGAAAAAATTAATTAATTATCTTCACTTTCACAATTCTCAGCATTTTAATTTGAGCATGGAATTATAATCAAATGTATTTTACGTACTATTTTAACTTCATAAAACTCAATACATATTTTATCAATAAACATATTCAGAAATGAGCAGAAAAAATACGATATGATCTGATTTATGAATAAATTAAGGAATTATTCTTTAAGCTTACTTCACTTTTTTTTTCCAGAAAATTTTGCTATTAACGTAATCAAAAAAAATTTTTCGATCAACTCTATCAAGTTTGATATATTTTTTAACCTTCAGAAATGCAGTCATTCTCCTCTTATTTCTTTTTTTTTTCCGAAATGCTATCAGAATGTTACAGATAAGCATTTTGATTGACTGATAAAGTTCAGAATGACTTTAGTCAGTTGAAAAACGCCATATGTTTTGTTAATAAATGTTTGCCAAAGAAAACGTTGAAAAGTAAAAATGTCATCATCATTTCTGTCAAGCGAAGATGATACAACTGTTCCGGATGCTAGAACGAACAATTCGTCATCACCGGAAAAATCTTGCAAAGTGAATGGATAATTATTTAATTGCTTAATTTTTTAATCTATAAACTTTTGGGTTTTGTTTCTTATCTATATAATGTAATATAAATTTTCTTCAAATAGCTAAACTATAAGGTGATTAATACATTTTGAAATTCATATAATATGTGAAAATTTTCAATTCGATTATATTATTTTTTAAATTTTGAAATGAATCAATCCAATAGGTTTGCGGTGATCGTGCTATTGGTTATAATTTCTCAGTGATAACATGTGAATCATGCAAAGCATTTTTTCGACGCAATGCTAATCGACAAGAGGTTGTTGATTAAAATATGCTACTATTTTCATCGCTTTTAATTGAAAAAGGCAATTGTATATTATATTGATATTTATCAAATTTGTATTTGATCTAATTTTATTAACTTTTTAATTTTATTAACTTTTTGAATCTAATTAATCATACTGTGAACATTACTGCTATCGTTAATTTCATCATTTATTTCGTAATGTATTAGATTTATTTTAAAAGACTCTATTTGTGCTGTAACAAATTACATAATCCGTTTTTCATTTTTAATTTTAATTTTAGTATATTAATTGAAATAAATTATTTTAAGTCTCTAAAATGTCCATTCAATCAAAAATGCGTTATAAATGTGTTGAAACGAAGATTTTGTCAATCATGTCGATTGCAACGCTGTTTTCAGGTATGTAACAAAGTGCAGAAACTATACTTCACTTTGATTTTCATGCTTTCAACTCAAATTAACAATTAATCAAACATATTTTAAAATCTAGAAATATTATCCCAAATTATATTCACCCTTACTTTAACAATATATTTTAACAGCAAAGATTGATTAGAATTTTTTTTACAGGTAGGTATGAAATGGACAATGCGAGAAGGTTATCGGAAACATCGATTATCGACAATTCCAGAAAATGATGAAGAAATTAAAAAAGTATTTGATCAAATTGATGATGGTGATGTTTCAGTACCAAAACACGTCCTTGTAGAACTTGTTAAAAAATCAACTCTAAGGTGATAATTAACTCTATTAATTTAACAATTTTTAACAAAATACTCAAATTTTGCATGCCTTTTTGTTAATATATACATCATTTTTCATTCATAATTTGTTGAATTTCAATAAATGAAAAAAAAAAATCATCTTGAATTGTTTCCTAAATGATTTATCAATCATTTTAGGTACCATAAAATGTTTTCAGTCATTTTCACATAATGTATTATTGAATTGAAATTTAAGTTCATTAGACTTTTTTTCGGTTTTTTAAGTGTATCACTTTTATGTTTCTGATTTTTGAATGCAAAAAAGTGAGACAAATTACAATTTGACAAATTACAATTTGATGACCTGTATATTCATTTTTATTAATGGTAAGTGAAAGAAAAATTGGATGAATTTATTTCGAATGCTAAAATTTCAGACGTCTAACAACATGCCAATGTAAATGCACCTGTGGATTTTATCCTTCGGATACTAAATTAACTGCTGCTGCATCGTCATTTACAGAGCAAAGATTTCAGCCATCTGATGAAATTACTGTTCCTTTTAATTCGATGAATCAATTTTCTCAAACAAGTCAAGATAATTTTTATCCAGAGCGAGGGTTTGTTAAATTTGAAATTAAAATTTTGGAGTAATTCCTAATTTTTTAAGTGAAACATTTAATTTTAATTAAAAATAGAACAGACTATCCGTTGGTAATACCGAATTGTTTGACGCCTATATCGCAAATGCCAGCATCTGTTCTACCGGAAATGTCAACAGCATGGAGCGGAAATATTCGTTTAGCAACATCAACAATAATGCAACAAACGTACATTTCAGGTATAAGTTTTTTTTTACCTCCTTTTTTTTTCAATGAATTTAATTGCAAATTGCAAATGTTCAAAAATTTCATCTCCGTCAAATATTGTTTGTGCTTCAAGAAGAAGAAACGCAAATCCTATTCAATAGGTTGCGAAGACGCAAAATTTTGCGTAAAGACATTTTTGTCTTAATACGTTTACATTTTTATTTTAATTTTAACCTTTCGATTTGCTGTACAAGTATCGTGAATGAGAAAAGTAATTTTTACTTTTTTGATAATATATTCAGATATACAGATTAAAGTATTTCAAAATTTTAGAGTAAAATAATTTCAGATGATAGTTGCTTTTCTGTGGATGCATTTGAAAGATTGTTTGCAGACGATAAATTACTACTTCAAGTAAACTGCTTCATTATCTGAGAAAGCATTGATTTTCTGTTAAGAATGAACTTATGCTGTGATATTAGATTCAGATTAAAACTAAATTAAATAAAATTTTTCATAATATATTTTGTAAAATTTATGAGGAAATTTCAAAATTTATCAAACTAAAAAGATAACTTTCAAGGAATTGGTTACCGCAAATGATATTCTCAAACAACCATTGGATTTATCTACAAATCAGAGATATTCCAATGAATTATCGCTTATGGATGTTGTCCGAATGACTGATTTGGCACTTCGACGAATCATCAGCATGGCTAAAGAACTTACATTTTTTAAAAGTTTATCGAGCAAGGATCAAATTTCTATTCTTAAAGGCATGTCGCTAACAATAATATCCCTTCCAAGTTTCTTGAACAATTTTCAATAAGTGATGTAACTCTTCTCCTTGTTCATCTAACTTTTAGATTTGGCAGGAATTTCAAAATCAACTATAACAGCAGAAAGTAATTGAAACAGTTTTTTTTTTTTTTTTTGCAAAAATCAAAATTGTTATTTGTCGATTACTTGAGTTTAAAAATAACTGGTATAAAAAAGAGGTCTGAATTTTTGATTTCCATTTTTCAAAATCGTTTATAATTTTTGGAAAAATTTCCTTGCTCAGTGGAATTTACTTATAAGTTTCCGAAATTCGATCAAAATTGGTAAAACATTTGAGCTGAAACAGTGGAATTAATTTGTTATGCAAAAATGAAATTTGTCTCTTCGATTCCTAAAATATTGCTATAGGATCGTGCAGTGAATTGTTAATATTGCGAGGGGTTATGGTATTTGATCAAAAAAAACATGCGTGGAATACGAGTGTGATACAGGTTTGTATCCTTATCCTTATCTGCATGAAATGTGAATTTTTGAGCATCTTATTAATTGCATAAGTAGGGAAAATCTTGTATATTTCAAATATCAAACACTTCTCCATTAGTGATTAAATTTATGTGATTTTAAAAATGTGCAAAAATTCAATGAAATCATTCAGTACGAAATGATTTAAATATTTAAAACTTAAATTATATTTCAAAAAAAAAGCAAATTAAGTCTAAAATAGTTTAAAATTTACTTTTAATTTCAATTGCAGTAGTTGCATTATATTTTCTAATACTTTTTATTTATATAAGTGCAACCAGGTAAATGATATCTTGCGAGCATCTTTAATAAAGTCATTTCGATTACTAAATTGTATGAAAAAACTAAATAAATTGATTGAATTTTTGATTTCGTAATATCTTCGTCTTATTTCAGGGTCCAGCTGAATTAGAAATTAAATTAGATATACTAAAGAATTCTAAGGAACTGAAGCATTATGAGGAACACAAGAGGTACCAATCAATATTTATCATATTTTATGAAATTAATCTTGTTTGATTGAAAAATTATAGATAAATGTAGTGGTAAACATTTCAGAATAGAAAAATTTTGGATAAATTTCTGTTCATTACAATTGTTAAAAGGTAAACATTTTTCGATTCCCATTTTAATGAATTTCTGAAAATATTGACAGTATTTTTTGTAGGTTTCTAACGACATTTGGTGAGAAATGGGGTAAAAATGAATATATTATGTTATTACTCAATGCGATAACATTATTTTCACCATTTCGTACCAATCTTCAAGACATTCAAAAATTGCAAAAAATACGACAAAAATATTGTGATGTTTTAAGAAGGTAAAAACTCTACGAGTACAAACTTTTATTAATGCAAAATCCCGTTTCCTTTTTCTTTTTTTTTTTTTTTT